CAGCCAGTGGATTTTTAGATTTATAACTTATCACACGAAGATAATGGTTCTTTTACGCATACCTATGTTGAGTCCACCAAACCACTTTTCATTTTATCATGGATTCCTTTGACGTAACAGATTTGTTCATTTCAATCAACACCAAGGTGGCGAAGCAAACGATGGCAACACTACAATACCAACGCGGATCCTCAGACACGAACAATAAATTAGACGCCATTCACATGATGGAGTTGTTGGATTTATGCCTCACGACACACTTTAGTTTCAACGGCCAAACCTACGAACAGATAACAGGCACGCCAATGGGTACACCGATATTTGGACTAGTGGCCGAAGCGGGGATGCAAGCATTGAAGGAAACCGCACTCCCGGTCGCAAAACCTAAACTCTGGCTACTCTACGTAGACGATACTTTTGTCATCCTAAAGCTCTCGAAACTGGGAAAAACACATCAGTTAATAAACAACACGTTTACTGCTATCCGTTTCACTAAAGAAGAAGAGAACAATGGTCAGCTATTATTCTCGATGTGTTAGTAAAAAGACATGCTGCTGGACAACTGGAGACAACAGTTTATCGGAAAGCAACGCACACAGAACAAATCCTGAATTATCGCAGCAATCATCCAACAGTCTACAAGCGCAGATACGTAGCAACCCTATTTAAAAGAGCGCAAACACATTGCAGCACCCCGCAGCTGAGGAAAGCGGAGGAAATCATCTATTCGAAATGTTTACACGGAATGGGTATCCTAGGAATTTCATTCTATGTTGTTTAACTTAAATAAAGCGAATGACACATGAACAAACATCAGAAACGGATAAAAAGACAATCATTCTACCATACATAAATGGTGTCTTTGAGATGGCGGCGAGACTGCTACTACGTTTCGGAATCAGAGTTGCTCACAAGACGACGGAAACCATCCGAGACGAGCTCTTCAATGGTAAGGACCGGCTTGGCAAAGAAGAAACAAGTGGTGTGATTTACAAAACCCACTGCAAAAACTGCAACAAGTACTATGTGGGCCAGACAGGAAGAAAGTTCGCCACTAGGCTACATACATGAGCATAGCCTAGGCATTCGCCAACGTGACCAGAACTCCCTGATATCGGTACATATGGACGCCGAGAATCGTCAGTATGATTTGGAGAATGTCAGGAGAATAGACAGAACAAAAACTCGAAAAGCACGCGAGTTCATCGAGGCTTGGTACTTGGGAAAGAACTCAATCAACCGACACTTACATCTTGATACTGCCTATGAAGCACTGAGGGTTAAATCAATACTCCGCCCCAGATCAAAGAGACAAAGGAACATCACTGAGGGGGACTCTAGCTAATAGTACGCAAGAGTTGACTACATGGTCAGCCCACGTGAACCAATAGACTCCTGACGTTCAGCAATAATCACTTGCATCTGCAAGTAGCTCGCATAAATCGCACTGATGATGTCGTCTAGCCTGACGATGAAACGTCTGCAACCAAATCACCCAGCTCGGAGAACACCCGCATACCCTCATCCGCATCCCGAGCTACAAATATTCCCACGGATTTCTAGGTTTTGTTTTCTCAAGGATTTTTCCCCTCGGGACTTCTTAAGCATTACATTTTTACCGGGTGATACACCTTCGTTTCTTTGTTCAATTATACACCGAATAGGATGCTATTGGTTGAGTTGGGATTGGTCACTTAATGGACGCTACCTTTTATGGTGGTTTGCGCCCCCTGGTTGGAACTTGATAGCGATAAGTACTATCTTCAGAGATCAACGCAGAAACATGATGTCCTTGAAGAAGACGTTTACAGCCTTATGAATGCAATAGTTTGAGAAAAGGTATAGTGAATGTGTTTGCTATGTGCATCACAAATCAATAGCATTGAACATCACGGTGCTGACTAAGGTCAGGATGCCTCAACTCACTGCATCTGAGACCTTAGTGTTACACTAACGACGAAAGAATGCAAGATGAGATAGCATTGTTCCATAATACTCGAGGTGAATTCATGAGAATCCTTCAACAGTGTATGTAATGCCTATTGCATATGATACTACCAGTATCGGCTGGGACATAGAGGATTAGAGTTTATGGTGAACTGTGATAGTTATTGTGTATCTAACAGATACGACCACAGAAAGCGCCTTCAGAACTGAAGCACAGGCCATAATTTGGCTTGATAACAAAGCGGATCAGACAGTCAGCCATGCTAACGTTGCGTTAGTGAATCTGGTCTTCCAAGACTGTTGTACCGGGGGTAGCTTGGGTGTGCAATGGATTTCCCATCGGGGGAATTTCCCTTTAAGCATAAGCTTAGATACCAATTCAGTTAGAGGTAGGAGGTTAGGTATACCTCGAAAAGACTTCTTGTCCACTGATCCGGTAGGTATTCATTAAATGCTTCAAACATTTCATGACCCAAATTTAATCCTTCAAAACCTACGCAGAGTGGCCTTTAACTGCGCAAGTGTGCTGTCATGGAACTTCTTATTGTGTCTGCCAAGTTAAAGGAGAATACGGTATAGTTACAGGATAAAGAGAAGAAATAAATTAGAAGGCTATATCAGAACGACAATACCAGTGCAACAGACAGGTCAGCGGAAACAATATCGGAGGCTCAGGGATGGACTTCATTAACAGGCAAGTGTTACTAGCTGTCACATGAGACATCTTAGCTGATGCTCCCAGTTGCACATTTTAAAGGCGACTTTAAGCAGTCTATTAATTGGCACGATAATCAAATCTTTTCATTTATACAGTTCGTTAGAAAACTGTACGGAATCATGAGTAGAACGAGAAAACCTTGCGAAGTGGATGTTTCAAAGGCTATTATACTTCAAATCAAATTTTAATGAAAGTGTTAGCTAAGAATATCCCCTCTCAATTTCCCCAGTGTGTCATTGGAGAAATCATAACCAAACGTTCAGTGGGGCTAGATCTACACACATAATAACTGCAATTACTTCATACTGAATTGAGGAATTTGTACTCGTAAATGACCTAGCGTGTTGTGAGGTACATGTGTACAGGCATTGTTTCAAATGAGGTCGAGCGAAAGCCTGAAATATTTTCACGAATTTGGTGACTAGCAAATTAAATACAGACTAAGGAACTCCATACATTCTGCTTAAAAATCTAGACAAATTCTATTTCATATTTAATTACGCTGATTTAACCAGCAGTCCATGAGAACACCTAAGTTAGTCAAGCGTTCCAGGTTCTAAACAAGAATTAAAAGATTGTCTCAAATTCTAGGGACAAATAGCTCATGTGAAGGCCAACAACCTTAGAAAACAGAACCGTGTAGACAGCCGAAAATACTGATTTTGCAAATAAATTGTTGCCTGTAGATCATACTTTCGTTGATTATCAAACTTAAACTTCTCCCATTCATTCGTTTTTCATTCCAAAACTATTTGCACTATTATTGTACTTTTAATTTATTTTTTATTTTTAATAATACTTATTCACTTTGACGATGGATGTGACAAAGTGACCCACAACACTGCAATTAAGGTTGCTGGCGTAGCTAACATTTGTACATTTAAATGGCTGTAAAAGCTTACGCATTTGGACGTTTAATGTAAACCGCATAGAATCAGTTAGTTACTCTAACCGTTTGACTGCACGATGTACCCACCGCGAACGTGAAGGATGCTTTTTTTTCTACTTGCAGCAAAATTACTTATCTTGAACTTATGCCCGCCCATTCTTTCTCCTTTGATCTGCAACAGAATTAATTCTACAGCGTGCTAAACCCGGTGCTCGCTGACGCTATAACATGCGCACACACAATGAGGAAAAACTATATTAGGCATGGTGCTTGCAGGGTGCAACGTGAAATGTGCTGCAGCGTTTCAACAACCACTTGTAGTATCGAAATTGCCAGACCGAAGCCTGACCTGATAATCGACAACGTTGTGTCTGCCAGTGGTATCCAGGGTAGTTGTAGAGCTGTAGCCTGGAGAAACACGGGTAATCAGTGTGCGGCAATAGGTAGCCATGGGATAGAAAAGCTACAGCATTGTTTCGCTTACCTATGACATTAATAGTCCGAACATGGGCTATGTCGGAACAGAATGCACTGAATTACATGGTCTGTCTGCTTGATGTAGCAGGCAGCAACCTTGTAACGTTCATAGGTTATTGTGCTGAATCCATTTGGTATCGTGGGAATGCCTTTCGAGAGATGTACCATTAATCAAGTATTACCTACAGAGTGGTCCTGAACCAATATGGAGAGCTTTTTAGCAATTAGATGCGTGTCTCGATTTACGTATTATCCACAGAAAGTGGACGCAAGATTGCCACAAAATCGTATGATAATTATTCTGTACAGTAAGCAGGTGACGTAGCTTAGATTCAGATTCAGATTCAGATGGACTGGAACGATAGGAAAATCCCTTGAGTGTTCCTTCTTGAGCAAATAGTTGAGCCAGAAAATGATAAGGTGTTAGTTCTTGATAGATCTAAAACGAAACACCCGAAACACACCCTGATCAACCAACTACTGCCCACGTTCCCTGTACTAGCAGTCCGCGCTGTGTAGGTTACGTGAAGTAAGAAAGAAGTAGAAAGTAAATGGAAGGTAAAGGGGAATGAAAGTCATTAAAATGAAGGATAACACCAAAGAGTGAAGATAATGACAGAATAAGAACTGAAAGTTTGAAGATGGATATGGTCAGGGGAAGGGAAAGGTTTCGTGTTGCCACCCAAGAGCGTCTAACTGACGCTCGAGGGACAAAAACCTTTAAGTAGCGCTGTAGAAACCTGTTGAAGACGCACGTTACGGTAGCAATAGGATTGACCATATTCGTACTGTGAAAAATAAGTAGTGATGAATGGTTTCCAGTTATTTTTGACAGAAAATTCCACCTCCTGTACAAAGAATAGCTTACTGGTCAGAAAATTAATTCAGCTTTTAAATGAAGATAGTGGTCAAATTGGGCACAAAAATTACACCCAAGTACTATTTCACAAGGCTGAATGACACACTCACTTTAGCTCAGGTTCATTTCTTTCATGCACCACGGGAAACTCGATTGCATCATAAAGCGGAGTGAGTACATTTCCCAGCCGCAAACTCTGCTCGCCAAGATACTTTAATGAACGGGAATTTCTATGCCCAAGCGGTTGCGATTGTGTAGCTGTAACTACGCAAGTACAACACATGTTCATTGTAATAACCAGTCCGGCGATAAGGACAATAGTGTATACAGTGCGATCGAACGAAGCTCCTGCAAGTCGAAACGACCATGGTTGCGCATGACTGAGGCACCAGAGGCACTGGTTGTGCTGATACACGTGAGGACACACAGGTTTAGTTATACAACTCAGTACGGACGTCAGTGGCTTGCAGTTTGAGGTGGACGTTAATAACCGCATATACGTGAGAGCATACGTGGTTAGGTGGAGGTCGGTCGAATTTACCGCTGATCCGATCTGTGTTGTAAGTGTGAGTGATCTTCATTCATGGATGTTTGCAAAGTTCATGCGACGTTGGTCAGATTATCTTGAATGAGTATGTAGTGTTGTTGGATTATATAGGGAAAAGATCGTCAATGTGAGTGTATCCACAACTTGCGAGAACGATTTCAGCGCAAACGTGAACCACGAAATACCTTCCTGCTGGAGTTTATTCGTAGCATGGGATGCGTTGGCCGCAGCGATTGCATTTGGTTTAGCCTCATGAAGTTGGATAACATAGAAAACCCCCTCAGTTGCATGGGGTGTATTCACACCTCCTAACTCCTAACACCCCCGGTGTTGAGTTGATGAAGTGCGCAAGATGCTCTGGTCCACACTTCGAGCATGCGGCATTTTCAGGTGGGCGCAGCGCGCATGGATGTATATGATTCGCAGTCTAGGTGGGAAAGTGATGTCTGAAGTCTCGAATCAACCGAATTTGTGCGATCTTCGCTCAGAGCAAAGTTGTGTGTGTGATGGCGTTGTCCAACTCGCCGTTTATGCAACGTGATGCTTAACTGCTGTTTGGCGAGCGTGGAACGCACACGCAAGTAGCGCACGTGTGATGTACGCACATGTGGCCAATTGTGCACATGTTTCGTCCAACAGAAAGAGAGAGTGAGGCGAGAACCATAATTACTTTCGACACGCCATCAGGGTGCGACCGGTCAAGTGTGCTATTCCGTTCATGACCAAGAAAATCGGACAGATTTGTCACCAAGTTTAAGTCCGTTGGGATTGCGTTTGAGGAGAAAAGCGATCATAGACATAGGCGAGCAAAAATGCCGTCACTCATTTGATTGGTTTCGGCTTTAATAAGAAAAGTGCCGTCCGCGTAGACAAGCAAGTGCCAAGATTCGAATGATAAGCAATGAACTTCGGGTGAAGTAGGTGTGCATTGTTGTCGCGGTACAAATCGAGCTATAAGGGGTCCCACCGTGGTAATAGGACTATTGACTGTCACGTTTAGGTGCAGCCCATAATTATTATTCAAATAAAAATACCCTAGATGCATTGTGTGTGAACATGATCAACAGGGGCAATTAGTAAGTTAGTTAATCAATTGCTTCGATGTAACCAATAACAACACACGCGCATATATATATATATATATATATAATCAGGCGAAAATTTTTGAGCTAATATCTTACATGCAAGCAGGTCCCCTGGAGACGGTTCCATGGATGGCCCTATTACTTTACGTGTACCTCTGTTTAAATCTGTAGTTGTTATTGTTCCCAGCTTTCAATTACGTTAAGACCTTAAACCTGCCAATTACTTTCATATCCGTTTTGGATGCATTGTGTAAAGAGTGAAACTGTATAGGTTTTGTGTGATCCCGTCGTATACGTTGATCAGACCACATGGTTGGACCATGTCTTGCACCTCCGAGGTATATATATATATATATATATATATATATATATATATATATATATATAATATGGCGGCGTCCGTCACCGTATTTGCCTGTCACTGTCACGTCCATGGGGACAGTCATAGGACGCCTGCGCCTACAAAGGTGACCATGGGTGGCTTGCGCTGCACCACCCATAGCTTCACCCACAAACCACATATCCGGTGTAAACCCGAAGGAATAAGACCGGGAGGCATGTGGATGGGAGCCATCTTTCATCAACGGAGCCAGTCCAAACTCCTTCAACAAGCAGAACGGAAGCATTCCGGCCTAATTAAAAAATCATACACACCAGACGTACACGAGGCGGTGGCTGGACCGTAGCCCGTTTCACACAGAATGGAACCACCCTTCAAGCCTATCACCTTCACGAGAACGGTGCACCCCGTCCCCACTAGCAACGGCCAACTGTCTCCTGGAGCCAGTATGGAAGAGTTAGTGGGTAATAGGCAGGTAGGCACCTTGTCAACATTCACATCAGGCGCATCCACACCGGTGAGCTCAAGCAACATCTACTTCTGAAATGCAAGATTACTCATCACGCAGGCAAACGTACCACATACGCCGTCTTATTGGCCTGGATTAGTAAATTGAATGAGAACATACTCATGGTGCTTCTATTCCACATACAATAGTGCCTTCTTCGGCACCTGAGAAACCGCCCTTTTGAGCAGTCCACGGAATTCGCATCGATCAAATTTGCCTTGGATTTGCAACACCTGAAATCAACTTAAGTTTGTCATGAACTCACCTTCATGTTCTGGAAATGTTATTTTCGGTTTGCTCGAATGTCGTTTTACTGCGCTAACTTAGCCGTACAAAAGCGGTATGAAGATCCTCGTCGAATTCATTCGGTAGACATGTATACATAGGTTTGCGTCATCCGTGTCCAATGGCAGTTCGAATACAAGATATGCACATGCGTTTATCCAAACTTAAGTATGAGCTGTCACAAACTGGTTAGAGACACATTAGACATCATCATCAATGGTACGACAAACGTGTATGGGTTCCGTTTGAAAGTCAGGCTAACAACCATTTTCGCACGCATGAGAATAACTACTCAATACGAGCCGTTGAAGTTTTCTTCAAAATTTAGACGTGACAGCCTTTAAATCTTGGGCATCCATATTTGAAGGAACCCGATGTAGCAATAGTGAAGCAACTGCTAGGTAGAATGATGACTAGACTACTGGTACAGTGAAATAGTGCGCACTTAGGTATTGCCCTCTACATGTACAGTCTGGTTTGAGTTGTTGATGGGGGAGATCACACAGCATGCGAATGCGATGCAGTGTTCATTTCTGGCTCCTGTGTCTCCGACCGGTTCGGTGCCCGAGGTCTGTGCACCTACGCAAAGACCGATTGATGCGCAACCTTTGGTACTGACACGTGACATCAACGAAGTTCCGTTGCCCACTGCGTTCGCATTTATTGTGCAAATGTCCAAGTACTCAACCGTTTATACCTACCGACCTGTACTCTACTGTGGTCATAAGGTATTTGCTAACGGTCTATATCGTACGTTTCGGGTGCAGCCATTCGGTGCTCATAAAACAATTGTCGCTATGCGCCGATTCATTTCCGACGTAATATACCAACACACTGACGTACCATTCCCGTTAGTTTCAACCTTTTACTTAATCCATCCTAAAGATTGGCCATGTGCAATACAACTTCTGGTAGGCGTCTCTGCACGTCTGCCTTCCATCCGGTTAGTACGTGTGTTTTCATAAGCCCCGGTAAATTCAGTATGGCTGAGAGATAACTGGAACTTTTACTATGCTCACTCTCATCACTAGCCTGCGTAGTGGAACATAAAATGGAGACATCGTGATAATCGCTAGTCGGTTAATTATCGGGATTGTTCACTTGACACAGAATGTCCAGGGAAATTTCTCTTCGAATGCATAATCCAATGTGGTCACACGAGGGACAATCGTTGGGCATTGTGTTCCAAATGTCAAATTTGATATCTTATGCGTACTGTAAACGGCTAAGCGATAATAACCTTTTGAGTCAAACCTATCCATCGAACTGGCAACATACATAATAATCTACCACCCTAACATTGATCCGTAGCAAGCATACAAATCGCTCGGAAACACCGCGCGCACATCAAATACGAACAAGCTCATGGATGGACTGAACGAATATTCTGCGATGCACTGGCTCTCTAAGCGTCAAGCTAGTTAGCATTTAGCAGCTGGTCAAGCTACAGTTATGGTGAGCAATACCATGGAGCTTACGTAGTGATGTGAATTGCGGCGGAATAATAATAATACGAAGAGGAAGACGCTGTAGCTCCCTCTCGGTATGTAACCATACTAGACTTCGCTTGAGAAGGTAGTGAGAATAGCATAGGTCATGATGAGTACAACCTTGTAATGGGTAACACATGAAGTCATCGCGAAATACAACCGAGTTAAATAAGCCAACACAAACTTAGATTACCTGTGGCTCGTCCATTCTAGGCATATGCAATGAGGATACCACATTGCACCAAGTCAGTGTTTATTCATTCTATAAAGAAAATGTACCCAAACGCGACTTACATGTGGGATATAGAATAAGGATGACAACAAAATATGACGGAGATGGCGTAAGCAATTTTCCAAGTTAGCAGGGAAATGTTGCGATTATGTCCATTGCAGGCAATCCGTGGCGTAAGGTAAAACCAGAGCCGGTTATAATCATCTGTTGTCCGAGGTGAGCGAGAATCAACAGGTAGAACCACCAGGCAGTCCGTCATGTGTTACTATTTATTTCCCCCTGGTCATTCGTTTTGATCACTAGGATATCTCGACCAAATCATCGGTGTCTAGAATACTATCTTTGCGCAAGCATTTCGATTCAGATGTCACAACGTATTGCCGTTGCTCCGGGAATCAACATTGATGACTTGTCTTAATCTCAGCACGTTTACCTAAAGGCGGCAGCAGTAAAAGGGGGCGTATAGAGACACTTGAGATAGGATACACTGACCTCATATTGCAACCCCTAATAAGTTACGGTGTCACATGAGAAGAAATGTAATCGGATCCATCTGCCAAGTGGGAATGTATCGAGACACGAACAGACGTTAACGGTATTTGTACTTTAGGCGAGTCCCATTTAGACATGGAGCCAGCAGATAATGGTGTTACGCGAGTGAAAATGCCATCAGTCTCTCAGGCTGAAGTGTGGTGCTTATAAGCGTTTCTAACTGGCTTCCACTTAATCATTCAACATGAGATATCAGTTGACATACCAAAGGTCCTTGGTTCGAGTGACAGTACCTGCAATGTTGCAAACGGGCATTTGTTCACACTTATGTATGCACTACCACAAACTGGATGAAGAAATAATAACTCTCATGAACCATAACACTACGTACGTGTATGAGGTTGGATTGAATGAAAGAATAACAGCCATATTTCTCTAGTTTTAGAAAATCGCACGCAGACTTAAAAGTAACCAATACGACTGTCAGTGGTTAGTTAGCGTTTGAATTTTAACCTAA